CACTGGTTGTCGAGGAGGGTGGCTTCCCATTTCCATTCTGCCCAAGTCCTTGGCATGGGATGCAGGCAATAGATGCTCTTGTGGAGCTGCACATTGATTGCTTGTTCAAAGCGGTCTACCAGCCCCACATCACCTAGCCGTGAGGCAGGGCCGTGGATCTCGAACTCCTGGATAATCTTATCCACGGAATCAGTACCTTGCCACAGGGCGGCAAGCTTCTGTCGGGCAGTGGCTTCGCAGTTTGGATCTTGGAACATGCTGTTGCAAGAGGGCTTGCAGCTCTCTATGCCAACTAAGCTCATGGGGTCCAACTCTCCAAAACTTTACTTTCTTGACTAAACTCGCTATGCTCTCAATCCTTAACTCCGCGGTGGGTTCTCCGGGATTTCCGCAAGGTCCGGGCTCAACAAATCCACTACCCACTCATTGCAGGCTAGATTGTTGCCCTTATTCCTACTGTTGGAATTCCACTCACTCACACCCTCTCTAGCACGTCCTAGCACCTTAGAGAATTTGGGGGAGGGGAGAACTTCTTTCCAAAAATCCAGTATGTACAGGATTATAAGAAATAATTATTTTTAGAAATAATAGATGGGAAATATTGGTGCCATATGGCACCTGGGTACCTTATTAGGTGAAATAATAAAAAGGGTAACAGTATCAATGAAAGAATATCAATCAATAACTGAAATGATGGCAAAATATGAAAATAAAAGAAAATAAGCGATTTCTCAACGGATTTACGGAATTATGAGCCTAAATTGGAAATGCAGCCGGAGATAACTCTCACGCAGCCAATGATTATTTTTACCGATTTATTAGATGCCGTGGGAACGAGTGAGGCTGGAATTCTGGGTTGCCGCTTGAGATTCCCACGCCCACACATACTCGTGCCTAACTTGCCCAACATAGAACTCCGTCAAAATCGTATGAATTAGGACTATTTTCAGATACCAAATTTGTACCGAGTCGTCACGTGAATGAAAGTCGTTTCCTAATCATAGAATCGGGTATCCAAGCCGAGTCTGTGCATGGGCGATTATCCTGCCTACAGCGTCAAGCTCCGCCATAAAGTCGTCCATAGTGATTGCGGGAGATCCTGCCATCAGCAGCATGATTGTGTGCTGTGTCGCCCATGCTCCTGCAGCTCCTCCTTTCATGTACGACAAGACGAAGAGGATCTGGGACAGAGTGTCGGGGAACTCTGCCATGCGGACATGGAAATAGATCCCGCATTCTGCCTTGAAGCGGTCGAGGTCCTCGCTCACGCCAGTGAAGGTGGTGGGTGCGGCGACTTTGGGTGCTTTGGGTTTGGGTGCAGGTGTGGGTGCGGGCGCAGGTGCAGGTGTGGGTGGTGGGTTTTGGATTCTGCTCTCAAGGATTGCTTGCAGTTCCTGGAACCTGGTCAGCAGGTCCTGGTACTGCTCCTTGGTCACCATGCTGGAGGAGGCAGGGGAGACTAGGTTGAAGCCTTCTTCTGCTGTCAGGGATGGCGCAGGAGAGGCGGGGGTAGCGGCATAGCCCCTGGCACTAGTGGCTCAGGCAGTGGCAGAGTAACGGGAATGTATAGCGAATGGCCCTCACTCGGGCTCACGTCCCTGTCTGGCTTCTTAGGCTGAAGCAGTAGTGATTGTTATTAGAATGGAAGGCTGAACTAAACTAAACTAAGCTGGAGTAAGATACTTGCCTGAAGCAGTAGTGAGAAGAAGGCTGCTTCTTCGGTTCTGCTTTGGCTCGGTTTATATACAGGTGGGAACGGGTCACATGGGGGGTGCCATGTCAGCCCAGGTGGGGCCAGGGTATCGCAGATGGCTCTGCGGGCGATCCCAAGTGTCAGAGGGGAGAAGTACAAATGAGGATGTGCAGCGTATCTGGCAGCACAGTACCCACACAGAGTACTTGGCATCAGATGCATCCGTGCTACATGGGTAAGGGGAGAGGTCATCCATATAAAGAAAGAAAGGAAAGAAGAGAGGGGAAGGAGGAAGACAAAGGACAAAGCAAAAGAGGGAGGAGGAGGAAAGAGGGGCAATGGGAGGGCATGGCGCAGAGCAGGGCGGCATGCCCTGACAGATGGGACTCACCAGTTGATAACCAGTGAAATGTGAAGCACAGCAGCCTAGCAAGGGGAACCACTGCCCAAGCATCACAGCTCCCCAGGCCCAAGTTCTTTAAGTGCATATCTAATCCACTAAAAAAGTAGGGCCATGCTATGTTATTCTGCATTGCATGTAGTAGCTGTGATTAGTCAGGTGAAATGGAGAGGTCTTTTGGATCATTGGGGACGATGAAGGAACAACTGTGACATGGAGTTTAGAAATGATGAGTCCGAGTTTGGGAAGCTGAGTTTAGACCAGTTGGTGTCAGGGCACACACCCTGACTAGCCTGCACCCACACCCACATGTGCACTTCCACCCCACATGCCGCATGCTCCGGGCCCGGTTCCCATCCTTCATGTGACTTCCGGGTATCCCCGGAAGTTTTCACCATATTGGGCCACTGTGGGAAAGTGAGAAGTTAACCTTCTTCTCACTTTCTTACCCACAGTAGAGTTGTGCCCTGGACAGGGCTGTTCACAGGTTAGACTGTGGGTCATAGAGAGGGGTCCATCCCCTGACAGTTGGGCTGTGTGAGCCCCAACAGCTAAACTGGCAAAACTGACCAGTTTTGTGTCAGGGCACACTGCCCTGTGCCATGCTGTGCCACCTCCTTCTCCCTCTCCTGTCATATCCATACAATCCCGACCTCCACTCCAGGCTCCCGGAACTCCGAAACTGACTCTGGAGCCCTACTTCCCTTCCATCACCTTCTCCTTGCCAACTTCCAAGAGGTTATCCCACCTCCGGCTCTGACACCACCTTCGGTCCGACTCCGGAACATTCTGGATCTGACCTCAACCTTGACACCTTCCAGACGAGCACACAACACCTATGCTCCTGACTCCGGACCTCCGCTCCGGAACCCTGTTTGCATCTCCGTTTCCGGAACCTCCGGTCTTAGCTCCGACCTTGGACTTTGACCCCACCTCCACTTATACCCATTGTATTGGTTAGCTCATTCCATTTAATTACATTTGCCAATATTCCGGAGTTTAACTTCTGAGTTCGGACTTTCCGGACTTACTTCGGACCTTGCAACTATTTCATTGCTCCATTCAATCCCGCTATTCTCCCTCATTCCTATTTGGGCTGTTGCTTCCTTTCTATTCAGTCAGCTGGCCATTCCCCACTCCCATCCTCCTTCCTTCCTCTTTGGGCCTTGGCCCTTCACTCCTCCTTTGGGAAACACCATTGAGTCAAACCCTTGACCCTCGGTGTTGTTCCTCCTTCCAGCTCCCTTTGTCTGCTTTCGGAGTACCCTTGCTCCTTTTGATTCTGGACCCCTCCTTATATACAATGTACATAGTAACTTGTAACCTCAGTCCAAAATCGACTTGATTTCCCCCCAAGAGACTTTCCCTCTGCTGGATTCGAAATTAGGGACCCCCAGGACAACCAGCAATGGCACAGCACTCCACCTGAGTCGCTGAGGCCAAGGTCCTTCCATGCTAAGTCTCCGATTCCACTCCAGAGTCATCTGAATCTGCCCGATCTAACATCTCCTGTCTGTCTTCCTTGCTTTCTGTGTCCCTTTCCTTCCTTCTTTCTCCATATGGATGACCTTCTCCTTCTTACCTGTAGCCCGGACACGTCCAATGCCAGGTACCCTGCAGGGGTACCACACCACCAGATGCGCCATGCACCTCTACTTGTATTTCTCTTCTCTGACACTCAGGATCACTGTCAGAAACTGTATTCGAGGTCAGAGCGCTGTATAACGCGATGAGCATGTTCCTGGATCCCCAATGTCGAACGTCATGCCCTGCAGCGAAATATGCACCACCCCAGAGCGCTATATGTCTTCAGGAGTATAAGCTAGACTGGATCGGGGAATGCGGTTCTCTTTTCTAACTTACTTTCCTTCCTTCCTCCTTTTTCTTTTTCAAATTTTGGTCCTTGGTTCTGCCGGGGACTTGTGCTTATTTCTCCTCAGGGGAGCGGCTAGGTGCATAGCTCTGGCTCTCCCGGGCCGGTCGCAAGGTGCGTGGTTTCCTTTCTCTGGTCCCTTTTTTCTCTTCCGTGGGGAACTGCTGACAGTTGATCCTTTCACAGCAACTCATGCCCACTGCTAATCTTTATTTTGTTGTTTCGTTCTCTAGGAATCTCCCATCTCCTCGTCCGCCGCTGCCGCATATAATCACTATCTTCGACGGTAAGTATTTTCACCCCTTATTCCTTTCGGCGTACTGCTAGCCACATCTTCCATTTTTTTTGGGGTCAACGGACCACTACTCTCGGCGGTAAGTATCGCCCCTACCCTAGGCTTATTACCAACCACATCTCTTAGGCTTACGGGCCACTTACTCTCGACGGCAAGTATTTACACTCCTTACTTGGTTAGGCTTATTACTAACCACATCTTCTTCCGTTTTCTGGGTCTCCAGACCACTCCGAGTCCTCTTGAGTAAGTATTTCCACCTCCAGGGTTTAGGCCTATTACTGACTACATCTTGTTGGTCTCTGATCTACTTATTTTTGACGATAAGTATTCCCACGCCCTACTCGTTTAGGCTCCTTGCTGACCACATCTCCTTCCATTTGGCAGCTTTACGGGCCACTACATAACTCCTCAACGATACTTTCCCGATGTCATTGACCCCAGTTCATTAGGGTTTCACCGCACTCCCACCATACATGACAAAAAGCACCGTTCTCATATATCCCCAAGCTAACCTTCTTGTAACATAGGTCGATCTCATGGTCTGGCATCTGATGCAGGTCATCCTCTGTTGCAGCCCATTCTCATGATCTGATGCTCCAAAATAAACATCGGATAAGACATGGGCTTCGTTCAAGTGTCTGTACGATTTCAGGGCCCATGGATCCCATCGAGGTACTCTTTGTACATAACCATTGCGGTCCATTTCAAGGGCGCGATGGTACGACAAATGCGGATTCTGTTGGGCGGATCTGGGAGCTGATTCTCGGGTCAGCTCCTGGAGTACGGACCCCTTGAAGCAGTTAGGGTGCCATGACATCAGAGCGACAGCATGAGGTTTCCCGCCTGGCAAAGTAGCCACATGTACCTTGTGTATACACAGTAGCGAAAGCAAAAGAGGGCATAAAAATTCAATTGGAGCAACCAACAGAAAGGAGATACGCAAGGCTGATGAACGAGGTGATGGTGGCTCTGGTGTGGGTGAGCGAGACGAGATACTGGCATTAGCTTTGGGCGATGAAAATAGGTGAACGCGGGGAAAGAGAAAAGTACTGGGCGGAGCGAAAAAGCGAATTGTTAAGACGGCAACTAAGGCATAGCATGTCTATAGAGGCTGCTTCAGCCTAAGCATAAGTAAGTCTCTGGCAACATAGGTTCGGCATTTCCCGAATGAGCACAGGATATCAGCATCATACCAAATATTGGTAACAAATCGGTTCGCTCAAGCATGCCTGAATCCTACCTCGTCATTGGAGGGAGCGGTTTTCTCGGACGGTACATTGTTGAGGCATTGCTTGCTAGGGGTGACAAAAATGTTGCTGTCTTTGACGTGGTCCAACGGCACTTTGATGTCACATTTTACAATGGTGATTTGGCCAACGAAGTCGAGGTTGGAAATGCCATCCGAAAGGTAGGTCAATTATAATCGAGACTAGAAAAGGTTTCATAATGCATCTCACTCAGAGCGCAGCTACGTGCATATTCCATACTGCAACACCATCGCCAACTGCAATTAACCAAAACCAAGACATCTTTTACAAAGTGAACGTTCTTGGGACGAGGACTATCATTGCTGCAGCTGCTGCACACGGAGTACCAAAACTGGTCTATACCAGTAGTGCAGGGAACGTTTACAATATGACTGATTTAATTGGCGTGGACGAACGATTGCCTATTCCGGAACAGCAACTTGACGCATATAACAAGTCTAAAGCTCAGGCTGAGGCTCTAGTCCTTGAAGCTAATGGGAAGGAGGGCCTGCATACTGTCGCTTTACGCCCTGCTGGCATATTCGGGTGCGTCAAATACTTTCCCTTTATGCATTGCTGCCTCTTACTTCCATTGAAATAGACCCGGGGACCGTACTGCGCTCCCGGGTATAGTATCCGTCATTAAAAACAACCAGACCCGTATCCAAATCGGTAATAACAACAATCTCTTCGACTGGACTTACGTCGGCAACGTCGTCAAAGCTCACCTCCTCGCCGCCGACAAGCTTCTTGATCCTCCACTTGACACAACTACTGTACTCCAGAATTACCCGCCATCCATCACACTAACTACAGGAAAATACACCGTCCCAACCTCCTTCTCCCGTCCACCAGGTCCAATCGTCGGTGAACTCACTCCCGAGCTTGAACAAGCCTACTGGGCATTCAAAGAAGGTCGCCAACCCAAAACGCTCACCCGTTCCAAATTCGACCCTCTCACACCCGAAGCACTCGACATCGAGCCAACCTACCCACTTCAAGTTGCAGGCCAAACATTCTTCATCACGAATGGTGAACCCATGTATTTTTGGGATTTCCTGAGGGCAATGTGGAAAGCGTTGGGACATGAAAATCCAACATCGAGAATCGTGATTCCTAGCTCGTTTGGATTGATACTTGGTACGATGAGCGAATGGTTCAGCCGGCTTCTGGGTCGCGAACCGGGATTCACCCGTGGGAGGGTGTATTATTGTAACACCCATCGGTGGTTTAACATTGAGAAGGCAAGAAGGGTGCTAGGTTACGAACCTGATGTGGGTATCGAGGAAGGTATCAAAAGAACTGCGGCGGTGAGTTGTAGCGTTCTCTTCCACTTCTTTGATCTCCATGTTCAACGTCCTACGTTACATTTTTCCATGCGCTTCCTCTGATGTGGGATCAGTGGTGGAAAGAAGAACAGGTCAAGGCGGACAATTCCGTTCACTGATTTTCATCACAGCTTTACTCGGCGTTACCATTCAGGATCCGAGGCAATCTTCGTGCTCTGGCTATTTATCTTTTACATTAGACATTGTCGGTTCGATTGGGAATAGAGAATGTGCCCGATGCACCCAAACTCTTGTCTGTTTATTTTTTGGCGTCAGGTATTGCGAACAGAGAATGGGGACTGGTACTAGTGGTGCAGTCATCGTCAGCAGACATGCGCGCAAACTTCGCTCCGATGAAGTTGCGCACTTCCCTAAGTGTTGATGTACCTGGGTTTCAAGAGTTGTGTCTACCCACGCCACCGGGTATGTACCTGCATGAGGCAGAGAGGTATGTTTGGAAAAATGCGCGCGGTGTCGCAAGCGTGAAATCTCGCCCTATCGGAGATCGGCGTAGTTTGGAAAGAACAGGGCGGCACCCTCCTCCCGGCTCAAAGAAAGAGGGTCCGTTTCCATTGCCATTGCTGGTCTTGGTTGCACACCACCTCTGAGGCCTCCATAGTCAGACATCAAACTCGAAGGGAGAAAAAATAGCTCCACGAGTTCCACGAATGCACGTATGTACGGTGATGATTCTAACACCTATTACAGGCCGCGGACAAGTTATACGAACATAACCTATGAAGAAAAGGGTATCACCTCAGTCTCGAAGATAGCCAGTGAAAAATAACATTATCAGTACTATCGCATCAATACCACTGCGTTAAATGAATAAGCGTTGTAATTTTGTCAGCCACGGCGATTTCCAACAGTGAAGCTAAGGCGCGCGACGAGCTCCTGAAAATGAATGCCTTGTTATGTAGACTTTTCCCCGTTCCCCATGCATAACTGCCACGCCGAGCAGTGTACATCACAATAGACTCTGGAATCAGAGCCTCATCTAAAAAGAATTATTTATCCATAACGGTTCAACCGCATGCAAAACGAGTTCCACAGGTAACATAAAATCGCAAGTCTTTGTCATCGTTCCAAAACGTTTTTGGCGCTAAACGGCAAGTTCCGATTGACAGGCAACTTTCCTATTTCGGCACTTGCAGGCTACCTGCCACGGTCTCAGTTGCGCAGATGCCCCCTCCTAGCACCTTCATCATCCCTGTGTACCAACTATGATGTTTATGACTCCTATACTATGGGCTTAAGGGATGTTACGCTGTTGGTTGTTTCAGCCCACACACAAATTTTCGGCCGATAACACCTTCAATGTAGCCAGGAAGTGGCGTTACGGGCCTAAGTTTTTTCTTTTTTTTAAATCTTCAGTAGATCCCTTCAGCGGTGGATCTAGCTGCGCGCCGCCGCATTTGGCACACTGAGTGATGCACAAGAACCGACTCCAGTGCTGAATCGGATCATAAGACATGTGTGCGGTTGCACCTCTCAATTGCGCAAGGGGCAAAATGGTCTCTTTTTCTTCACGGTATCAATATCATGAATGCTCGATCCAGAAGGATAGGATAATGAGAAGATCCATGTCCACGCGGCTTGCAGCCGATAGCCTAGCGCTCAGGAACAAGCCAAAGGAGGGAACTAACGAGTCACGAGTACAGGACCAGGACCAGAGGATTCGGACAGAAACTTCACCAACCCCAGAATAAAAGGGTGTCTCTGAATGGTGGTGGAGTACTTATCAACAAGATAAGAGCGACTAGAAGAGAGAGAGAAGGGGGAAGTCGGAGATCAAGTCAGGTCAGGTGGACATGCCCACTATATTGCGTTATGACGGATGCTCTAGTATACGTGCGAGAACTCATATTCGTGAGATACCCGTACCATGGTAGGCAGGATCCCAACCCCTGCTAAAGTAGAGTACTATAAACGACTATATATAACACCTTGAAGCCAGTCATCTGGCCTATTCCAACCAAGCAATCCTAGAGACCTTAGCTACCATTGCAGGGAAGTACCTGCTACCAGTATATATCGGGTGCTACTAGCTAGGCACAATATTACTGTTTTTGAGTCCGCGACCCATTTATACCCAAGTTAATGAATCCGTGTGCAACCGCAATGGCAACTCTTGGAGGAACAATTGAAAAAAAGAGCTGGATTAGAAACCGTTACTTGCTATGTATGGGGTTTTCATAAAACCGACTTTGCCGACTTGTTGTTATTGCAGGGATTCGAATTTGCAAATCATTGGGGGGGGGTTAATGACGTTTCGATGACGTGTTGTTCGCAAGCGAGCAGTGGAAGGTAAAACTGAGCCGAGGATACAGTACTAGTCTACTTGGTATACTTTTGTGCACGTGCGTTGACAGGAGTGTCATGGCCCCACATGCATCCCACAGCAAAATGGTCCCCGCAATCCCCCACGGTCTGGCGAAGTACTAGTACTTCCATACGCCAGCCTCGGAGTCCAATAAAGAACCCCATGCAAGCCAACCAGGTTGCAAAAAAGGTCGTCTGATACGCCGCGGGGTGTATGGCTTGGCAATTGCACAAGGCTACGTGGGGCCGCAGCCGCAACCGCAAAAGTAAATGTACTTACATGCATAAAAGGTACTGAAGTTTACTGCCAGCCGGAAGCTTACCTTGGACCTCGGACCTCATCACAAGTCACAAGATATCACTTATTAGCCATATCGTTGTCAACAATATTCGCTTCACCGATCGACGGTCCCTCCACCGATCTAACTGACGAGACGATCGATCCCCAAGTATATGTATGTACATTACTCACCTCCAAGGTTTTGATCACGCGAGCATGCAGGCACAAGTTCTCGCCCCCATTCTTCGAAACCAGCCCCACCCCAAATTAAATACCTTCACGCGAGCCTATAATATCATGTATGTTTGTAAATCAAAAAAAGAAAAAAAGGGGGCAGTACCCTCGCACATGTTAATTTTATACATTGTCAGGTTTTAAACACCGAATTCCTCCCAGATCTACTTCCCCACCCCCCCGACAACATACCGGCCGGTCCCTCCCACGTCCGTCTCCGCCTCTGATTCTGTCTGATTCTTCCTTGAATAATGTAAAGGGCTCGATCCTGATAATTCGGATTCGGATCGGATTGGGGTACGGTTGAATTCGCTCCAAATTGGCAGATCTTGAGAGGGGTGCCGCGCTTGACTGGGGGGGGAGGACATCGACGTTGGCATGGATATATATGTTCCACTGTCAAGTTCACATCCGGAGCAAAATTTCGATTCCAATCCGGCTAATTACATATCATGCCTAAAGATCGATGACGGCCGACGGATGGGAACAAACTTCGCCGAATCGCGCATAATTCACGAGTCTCCCATCCCATCCAGCCATCCATCCATATGTCAAGTAGTACGTACTAACAGTGTATGCGTAATATGTGTATAAACAAACATGGAATTGTTATTGGAACGAAACGATATTACACTAGTAGCTATGTAAATGCATGAGCCGATTGTAAGGATGGACAAGATGGTGAAGTAGTACTGTGCGATGTGGTTACATAAACATATATCTGCATGTCGAACAAAAGAAAGAGAAAAGATGGAAGGTGATGACAACAAAAATGTATGTATGTATGGATGCAGACATTGGGGGATGAGGAATCAGCCTTAAAAAAAAACAAGAAGAAAGAAAAACATAAGGATAGCTAACGTGCAAGCCTAGCTATCAAAATTCCAACATGATTGCAACAACTTAACACACGCACGCACGCACACGCAAAACCCAAATTAAAGCTCGTTAACGCGTCAGAACAACCTGAGGAACCAAAAAACAAACAAACAAAGGAAGAAGGAAAAAAAGAAAAAAAGGGAAAAATCCATTTACGTGTTGCGCACCAAGTAGCCCTCACACACACAATGCCCCCCCCCCCCCCCCTACCTTTGGACGCTTAAAAAAAAACCGCTCAAACGTCCTCGGCAGCACAGATAATCTTCAAAGGACTTTCCGCCCGTTCCGTCGAACAAACGACCTTCAAAGGTTTACACATCGTAATGGCCCTACTACCATACCATTCCAACTCGACTCCATCCGCACTCGCCTTCATTCGAATGCTGTTCTCCAACGCGTACACCCTAAAGAACCTCTGATCCGCTATCGAACGTTTTCGCGTAGGGAGGTGGGATTGAGCTGGTGGTGGTGGCGATGGTAATCGAGGTGGTGCTGACGACGAGTGGGACGACGAGGTGGAAGAAGGAGAGGGGGAGGGGGAGGAAGTAGTAGAAGTGGTTTGAGAATTGGTAGGATTCGCTGCTGACGACGACGTCGTCAAGTAATAGTATCGAGAAGGGGATCGACCTCGCGGTGGAACCGTAAGGATCGTAAAATCGTCCACCAACTCATCCGAATCGTCTTCGTCATCGATCACCGAATCCTCCACACCAAGACGCCCATCCAAGTCTAAAGAGGTCACCGCCGCCACCGCCACAGACGATGAATTCCCAGCGATTTTAACACCGCTAGCATTCTTGGTCGTCGTCCCAGCGCCACCGAGACCATCCATCGATGTTCTCTTATTATTATTATTAAGATCAGGAGATCTTGACCTCCCGCCACCACTGCCGACGACGACGGAAGGAACAAAAACAACATCATCCATCAACGTAGTGACACCCGTGAAACTCCCACTCCTTTTCCTCCTCGAAGGTCGTTGAGGCGTCCAATACGTCTCAAACTCGACACAGCTCGGTGGAACTCCATCGCCCTCCGTTCTACGACATTTCTTCTCACCACCAGCTTTAGTAGTAGTGGTAGTAGTAGTAGTAATGCCTCTCCTCCTCCACAGACTGATAGGTTGAAGATCATCTTTAGAAGGGGATGAGAAAATAGCTTTGATGTGTTCGCTCTTGGCTCGATAGCCGTAAGCCGTCATGATAGGTTGAGGTCGGTGAATCGTCGGACCCAATTTGGATTTGCACGACGAGCATAATTCCGCCGCATCCTTCTTATCATCATCATCGTCGTCGTCGTCGTCAAACGGCGACGAGGATGCATCGAAGCTCAAACACTCCTCGTACCCCTCGTTGGAAAGACCATCCACGTTTCCCAACAGGACCCACTTCCCGTTCACGCTCCCCCTCCTTCTCGGCGTAGACACCGAATGGGACTTCTCTCTCTCCTTAGCTTCAGCCTTCTCCCTCCTCTTCTCCTCGATCTCTCTTGCAACCATCAAACTCCTCTGAAACTCCTCTTCCTCCTTCTCAGCCTTCTCAGTCTCGACTCTCGCTTTCGTTTCCGACTCTGCAATATACATCTCCAACATCCCCAACACAAGTGGACATGAATACGCGTCGACAGGTACGGAGGGTGGTGGTGGTGGATAGAAGTAAGTAGAAGATGGAGTTTTGGATGCTTTGTTGGACTTTCGAGGAGATCTCAATCGAGCAGGACTGGAAGACGAAGTCGGACAGACAGTAGATGCAGTGGAACGACAGGAGGACGGGGAGGATGGACATAGAGTCGATGGGGACGTAGATAGTGAAGGAACAGGTGAAAAGATCGAATCGGCAGTTGTCGTAGGAGACGTTGACGATCGAGAAGTTGACGTCGTTCCAGACGACGATTCCAACGACGAAGCGGAACATGAACAGAAGGATTCCGCAGACCTCTCACGGTCCGTAACAACTCGGCTCTCGTTCTCACTCGATGACGACAACTCCCGACGTTCAGGACTTGGAGGACCCTGACTTTTCCTCCCTTTCGTCTTGCTCTTCTTCCTCGAAGGAACGCATCGATCGATCCTACACGTCACCAAACCCACATACTCAGCCAACGTCCCACCTTCTCTCAACGCTTCCTTCTCCTCGACACTATCCTTCTCCAAAGGGAACAACGCTCCAAATCGCCTCCGATGAGCTTCCTTTAAAGAAGCTCTCTTTCGGGATTTAGTCGCTACGGGGAAAAGGGGTGTACGACTGGGTGCTCGAGGGATTTTAGTTTTAGATCGCTTTGGTGTTGCTGCTGGTGCTGGTGCTTGTGCTTCCGATTGAGCTGGAGTTAATGTTCGTGTTCGTGTCTGACGCGGTGTCATACTAGCACTACTCCTAGGTGTCCGCGCACTAACCGAATCACCTTCAGACTCGGAATCCAACGAGGAACCAGAACCAGAACTGTCCTCCTCGCTATCGTCGTCATCATCCGCAGCACTGGAGTGTTCACCAGAAGAGGAATACTCGTAAAGTAACCAATCTTCATCGGAATACTCCCCATCAAGTGATGGTTCCTTTCCGGGAATGATCGTTACGATGGCATATTCACGCGTCACGCCTGGTCCCGGTGGTGGCGGTTGTTTACGCGAATCGACGTATACGGAGACGGGGACGTGAGGAGAAGAACGGGATGACGTCGTTGAATAGGCTGTTTTTTGACTCCGGTGGTTGTTAGTTGTTGGGCACGCTGGAGATGGAGTTGACGATGGGGATGACGATGACGATGACAATATTGATGATGCAGAAAGTTTAGGAGGAGTGGAGCTGGAAGGATGTGATCTTCGAGATGAGAGTGGGATCTGCGGAACCGACGGTAAAGGTATAGACGTAACCAGCGGACTCTCACGTCGGATAGGAGATGGAGACGGAGATGACGACGAGGACGACGACGAGGAAGACGGAGCAGTAGACCTGCTAGCACTCTTTCGTTGTTTATGACTGCAATATGAAGATACCGAGGATGATGACAAAAGTGCCGATTCTGTGGGAAGACTATTATTGCTACTGGAAGCGCTGGCCGTAGCGTGCCTGTCGAGAGGTTTACTGGCAGACGACCGCGAGGACGATCGAATGACGTCTTGTGTATAACTTGGTAACCCAAAAGTGAGGCGGTGAAGAAAACCAAGAGGGGATATATTGGTGAGGGTAGGAATTCGAGGGGGAGGGGGTAGGTGCGCAACAGCCACGAGAGAGACAGAGAGAAGGTCTAAGCGCGAGTTGAGAAAGGTGAACGAACGACAACGCACCTCGGTTTCGGGCTGTATCTACGAGGATAAGTCAAATTTGCAGGCAGACGACGACGGTCGTCAATCCGTTGGCGGTGCATTTGTAGAAGGTAACGCTAGGTCGGGGAGGGGGGGAAGTATCAAAGAATGGGTTGCAGTTAGATGGTTAGAGTCGCTGGAGGGGCCGGAGGGGTGGAGTATAAAAAGAGGGGAGGGAGGGGGGGGAGCGAGTTGAACTCGTGGCAGTAAGTAGTAATTGGTCGGGTGGAAAAAGACTTGGGTGGGACTAGGCTTCTGATTCTGTAAGTAAGTAAGTGGGTGATCATCCACCACTGAAAAAAAGATTACAGCGGTCAGGGATGACTTCGAGGTATATTATGTATGTTAGGTAGCAACTCGGAGTGTGGTTATTGCACTGTGGGGATGATGACGACGAGAAGAGGAAAGGAAAGGGAGCTGGAGCTATTAGGGGGGGGAATGAAGGAAGGGATTGTGATCTTTGGACTTTACCCGCGGGTCAAGTAGGGATGAAAAAAGCAAAAACAAGAAGCGAGGGGAAGGGGGGATGACGAAAAGAGTTGTTTGTTGCCAGGATGATATTTTCCTATTTCCCTCGCTGGTTTTTGCAGCTGGCATAAACTTGCCTTTCGGGGAGGGGTTGTTATGTATGTAAGAAGAGATCGCTACAAATGGCAATCCCTCCGGCGGACGTTTTGTATTGAATGCTATGACGGAAGGGTTCCAGAATTCGGTTATTGAACTATGTATACGGGTAAGGTCCAAAAAAAGCGGGGGGTTCCCCTCCTCACTTGTACTCTGTACTTCTGCAGTACTCTGCACACTGCGAGCCCAGGAAAGATCACAGTTCGAGCAGTTCGAATATTATGGTGCGCAAGCGACATAACCATCCGTGATGTCACATGCACAGCACAGCAGGGGAGTCAATAATTATGTAATAACCTGTGTATACTATATGACCCCAAGGCGAGGGCGCATGCGTTTGACGCGCGTCCACAACTCAAAAAAGAAGCGAGAGTACTGCATGGCAGTTTATAGCCCTCAAAAATCAATATAATGACCCCATCGCAAAATCCCTTCATCCACGTGATCACAATTGGGTGTCAGGCCCCCAAACACAACAACACAACAACAACATCCGCAGCTGGGAACGAACAGCCAGACAGCAACGAAAACGACGAGGACGCGTCGTTACTTTTTTGGTTATCGCACTCGTGCTACCCCAGACCCTCCTATCTCCAACCAGAAGGCTCCATATATATACCGTTACGACCCGACAGAATACTTACTACCTTAGTCGCTCCAAACTACATTACATACCCATCATGAAACCCACTAAGGGGTGTGAACATTTCAACATTTCCGTGTGGCGCCCCTTTCCACATACATACACCAACCACTTAAAAATGTCTGAATTCTCTTCTCTTTGACTTTCAAGCATGTGCTATTTCGATGAAAAGTCACATGCGAGCCTGAGGGAGCCTACTGAACAACCCCCCCAGATTTGTGTGCATGGGTTCCGTGGTCCGGATCCCTTTTTATCATGTGTCGCTTTCAGCATGGGCCCCCCAAAGTACTAGTGAACCCTGTCAGATCACGCGCCCTTGTGCACATGCCCCCCTCAGCCTGCATGGCCAAGGTCAACATCATCCCCCCCAGAAACAGCCGATCGATCCAGTGTTTCTAACCGATCTCTCGGGCACACTCGTTCCGACCTCGCTCATTTGCGTGCTCATACATATATAAAGCATCACGCGTCAGGTTGATCTCGACACACAAATCTAGAATCGCATTCTATGTATATGACCGGTACCTCGCGCGATTCTGGTGATATTGTGTTCATATATATGCAGCGGTGCCCATCTCCACCACACACAGTACTGCGATGTTCTAGTCGTCCGTATACAATGCAATGTACTGCATCGCTATCACTCCCATTCGACCCCCGTCCACCGTTCGGATCCTCCAATCATACGCCCATCCTATGCACATATCCCGTTCCGGTCGTCCAAAACAGTGAGCCTTTTCTATGCATGCCGTTACTGTAAATCCATTCTTCCATTCTTCCTTGCATGCAAAAAAAACCCATTCACAACTCGGCATCTACAACGAAAAGTGTTCTAGTACCCCCTCCGGTTCCACCACACGGTACGTTGATGAATGAATGAATTAATTAATTAACCAAGTTCACGACTCCGTAATATTCATCTTACATATACTTTTTTGCCTTCATTCTCATTCTCATCTCCAAATGAATTCCCGGCATGATCATGTATATATGGAGAGGGGGTCTAGTCGGACTCATCTTTCATTATCCCACGAACCATCGGAATATACACAAGTCCAGTGTCGATCCGGCCAACAGTACACCCCATGCTATTTCTACACTATTATCTAGGGACCAGTATCAATTCCCCTATGTCAGTCGGCACGCACATTATTGCACAATCACTACATAAGGTACCAGACACAGTATGTAATATTCCAACGAAAAAAAGGGCCTCAAATCGATCCATTATGCGTGAGATCGATCCTGTGCATGTACATAACATCCGGGACGACGCTGCCGAGTTCAGTTCCAGTTGGGGATATCGATAAGTTCACCTAGGCAAATAAAAGCTTTAAAATTGAAATTAAAGAGCAAGAAGAGTCAAGCTATTATGCACCTACTCGTGAGCCTTGGGGGGGTCTGAGTCGGCAGTGTGGCTGCAGGCCGACGGAGGCTGGATGGAAGAATCATCTTATCGTGATCGATCGATCGACACGGTAGCTGCCACAAAATGCCACACAAAATGCAAATCTGGTTATATAATAGTTCCGCTTTGTGTGGATATGTGTGTGTGTGCATGCAGAAGCGCCGCCCCTGGCCTGAGTGCAGAAAGTGTGCAAAAAAGTGTCGTACATTTGTTCATTGAGTTTGATCCCCTCAGGCCGCCCATGCATGTGAAAGCGTAAAAAGGAAAAGACGGGAGAACAGAATGAAGGAAGGAAGGAGAAAAAAAAAATAGGAACCATAGGTATGTATATATGTACAGAGAGAACAGAATTTGCGCGTGTAAACCCAACTGCAACAGCGGCTTGCGAACTTTTGCGATGACTGTAAGAACCGATATGATATGATAACGATAACGATAACGATAACAGTATTTAAGGTAGTTGCGAGGATACGGGCAATGGAAAGCCGCACACGAGTACATGGCCGCCCCTAGTACGTGTGAGTAAATTAACCCTGCATTATCGAATGCGCGCGATTATGCATGGGTGTGAAAAACCCGAAAGCCATCCATCACCACTAGTACTAGTGCCAAGCGACGCGCGCAACCACATGCTATATAGTATAGTAGCCCCTAACTTGATCAGTATTTGTCATCGAGAAAGGGCGCAAGCGGCTCTGGCTGCCAAAAGAAAGATACGCCAAGCTAGGGAGCCACCAATTTGTGGCCGAAAGGGCACACCCACGGCTCCTGTACAACATGAGCCATGCAATGCCAGTGGCCTCATAGTACTAGCTGAACACTAGCTGTAGATACGGTAAACACTTGGAAGAGGAAGCCTAAGTGCCATCAGATGTTACATACATGCGATCGAGGGTACCTAACTCGGCCTGCGTTATATAATGATCATCGATGTACTAATTTCCAAATCCTATCACAAACTCTATCCTCTCGCGCCAATTAACCATAGCTAGCACTACTTGGGGATAACACAAAGTGCGTCTAAGCATCAATGATGGCAAATCTAAAGATCGTCATGTACTCGTTTGGAAACCAAACCAAAACAATTTGATCCTGAATTGAACGCGCGTACCACACATATATACACATTCGAAGCATATATCGGACAACGTTGCCGAGTCCCAGTCCCACTTGGAGCATTTCCCTCTGTTATAGATAATTTCATTTGGGCCCGGGGGCGGGGCCAAATGATAGGGATCGATTGGCAGGCCAAGCTAGAAGGCGTTAGTATCTCGCGCGCGCGACCGAACAGGCGCATTATAACTACACTACCGCAACATTGTGCATGCACACTGGCCGGGCCGAGCCTGAGCTCCTTCGGCCGTAGTACTACGAAAGGGCCGAAAGGGACAGGTGGGATAAGGATAAAACCACGTATGCATAGGTATAAAGTGGACTTGCATGCTGAGATGACTGAAAACTGATATGATATGATATGATAATGATCGATAGATTATATACGACGCGACCGTACGAAGGAATTCGAAAAGCCGCACAAGTCTTAGTACGCGTTTGCACATGTGGGGTTCCATTCACTAGAAGCACCCCCAGAATTGACTGCACTATGCGATCAAACAACCCAGATGCCGGCCAGAATCCGAAGCTCTCACCAATTAAAGTCATCAGTGCGGGCTCGCGTATTACATACTACGACGCCGCGTACTACATACTTGCCCCACTTTATTTATCTGTCAAAAGTAAAAGGCGTGGGTGGCTTGCGCAAGAACGAAGAGCCGGGACCCTGCAGCGAATACTCTGTTTGGTTTTTGCATTTCGCGTGTCAATCTCATCTCATCTTGGGGGTCAACGTCTTCCACGTATGTCCGCGGCACCAGAAGCTCTGCACTTCACGCTCAATGAGCACACCCTTCCTCTCCACGTGCGCAGTTCCCAAATTGGGACATGGGAAGCATCAGACAAGTCGACCGGACATGAATCCCGACGGCCGCACTCAATCGACGTCCGGGTCTTGGCCTCGGTAATATAGTTCCCCCGGCTGCGGATGCATTTGCACTTGCACGCATGTGTGTATGTATGTGGCATCGCCCGCTCCTATCTGCATGTGGACCTCCCAACCCAGTGCTTGAGCCCCTTAGTATACCCCCCCTGCTTACTCAAACGGTGCAGATATTCGACGTGGTCGACAAATTACAAGGCACTGCGTATAACACTGCATGCATAAGCTGCGCCACATTCACAACAGCCCCATACGGCATAAAATATAAGCCGCGCACAACCAAATTATCTAGAAGCTTAATTACATAGAGGCGAGATTAGCACATGCATATTACGTTCAAGGAATATCGTACATACCCTAACTCAGCTTACATATCATGTTGTGCTTACCAAGCTTAATAATAATCATACATACCCTCTTGCGCCACCCAACACTCGACCATCCCTGATAACACGAAGTCTGTCCAACAAAACGTCCCCTTCCAGATAACACCCTTTCAACCATCTTTGAACCCCCAATTCTTCCTCCACTACGCTACCGTTCCCTTCCGAACTTCCAGAAGCACTACTTTCTTCGTTCCCCCCCGCACCATTCCGATTCCGATTCCGATTCCGACTCTGACTCTGACTTTGGAATTCCCTTCTCCCATGCAGGATCCTCCTGTTATCAAAAATAACCGCCATACCCGGCTTCATCGCTCGTTCGTATAACCGATCGTCCGTGTGAAGTAACTTTGTGAATTTCTTTAAAGCGGGTAAAAATCGCGAATCTAGACTTGTGTGAAGGGGTAGCGGAGCCTGAAAAGGAGGTGAATAGTTGATGTACGCCACTTCAGGTACGACTACGCTAAGCGGGAGAAGTTGCTCTTGAGGTTGTGTATCCGAATAGGAAGCGACAAGGGGTGAGTTGGAAGGGATGATAGACGAAGAGGCAAGTTGGATCGTACGATGTTCGCGATATAAATGATGATGCTCGTTCATGTACTGAAATGCAACCGGTCGTTGACAAAGCACATCGAACGCCTCTCGATCTTCTTCCAGTAACGTATACGCCGCATGATACCCATCCGAAAAGATACTTTCCCCTCCCACAACTCCCGTATTCCTCAACATGTGTAACACCTGATATCGAGGTGGATTCTCGCAATAGGCCAGGTCCATATGTGATCCCAAATCTAAATTCGTATAGGCAATATTCCGACTCGTCTCACCACGAGAGACGACATCCCACAAACGACCGTAAATCGTTTCCCGAACGATTCCAAAGATTCTAGCAAGTTTTCCCGTTTCGCATCGTTCGTCTGACGTCTCCTCAGATGGGATCCCTTCAACGAACAATATCCCATATTTGAGCAATTGTTCGATCCCCCGACGAACAGCAGCATCATCATCCTTTGAAATACACAAACTGCCGTACGACATTGTTAGATCATCCGATCGAACCAATTCCTTTTTCGTCCAAGGGAAAGGTTTGATCGCATGACGAAACGCATCCTCGAGCGTCAAATGAGAGTACCTCTTTAACATCTCAACGCTAAATTCCGTTTCATTTGGCCACTCTTTCGTATTTCCGATCCCATGATCGACCGTCATCCGAGTCCGAGTCCGAGTCTGAGCCTCCATTCGACTCCAAACGATCTTCACACGAGTTCCATCTTCCGTAAGTTCCGCCTTAAGAGGGAGTTCACCAACATCAAGCGGAACTTGAGAAGATGAATGAAGTTTTTGTCTCGTAGCCGAATGAACGAGTTGAGGATCCGAATCTCGGAGCCATGTGTAAGGGAATCGATGAACAACTCTTTCGGTAGGACTAAATTGGATGGCTAAAGCATCGCTTTCAAGCGAGAGTTGGATGGAAGGAGGGATTGATCCAGGATACGATTGAGGGTGTGATCGAGGAGGTACTGCGATGACGGAATTACGGAGACCGCGACGTCCGAGGACTTTGGCAGTGGTAGTAGCAGTAGGACTAGAGACGAGTGGGGCCAGGGCTCTGGCTGCTTTGGCAGCAGTGGCAACGGGAAATGGAGACACAACAGAACAGAGCCGCCGATTGAGAACGCAACTAGTGGTGTACTGTCTCATGTGAGCAATAATATTCCATTCGAGTGTGACGTGTGATCAGCCACATGCACACGTCGCCACGTCAATGTTATGTAGCTGGCGGTAAACAAGGTGATACATTCGCAAAAGCCACACTGTACATTATGTAAAGCCACCAAAAAAAAACTCCTTGGGGAAAAAATTGACAGCTATAGATACAGTTGTTCAAACGAATCTTGCAACAAGTGGTAGTAATAAGTATGATAGAAGGCTCCACAGGGCAGACTCAAAGAACACGAGCGTTATCCCTCGCGCGGCGCTGGCGCACCCTTTGTAGTATATGAAGCCCCCCCCCCTCAAGGAAAAGGATGGGGAGACGGAGAAAGCCTTTTCGGAATCATCACCTGACTGAGAACTTCTTCCGGCCCCTTGGTACGTCTTGCGTCTTGGCGCCAAAGCCTTGGCGACGCAAGCAGCCGATCAATCGAGGAAGGTTCATGCGCAAACCCTTTACTGTAACTCCCCCGAGCCCAATATTACTACCCGTCCCTTCGCTTCTTCCTTCGAGTTCTCACTGACCCACCACTTGTACATGTAGGCAGGACTCCAGCTGCCTCTATGGCAAACAAGCATTTTTCTGTGGCATATGACGGAGCGGCACGTTAATGGGTCACACTGTACACAATCAGTAGATTCAGTACTGTACAAGGCCGTGCTATGTATTTTTTTTTAAAAATCCTGCCATGCAGCTACGGCGTTTTGGGGTTAAATCGCACCACTTGTACGGTTATACTTCTACATGAGTATGTATCCGGCTCAAAGTACCAACGGGGGTACTACGAAGTTTGCGCGGACCTATGTGAATACTCGCACGAAGTCTAAGTTTAGCGGATCTTGTCATAGGTCATGCTACATAGAAGCCGGACAAAGGATTCCCAAGCGACTGAGCTTTCCCGTCCGCGTTTAGGACGCGTACGGAGCCACTGCGCGGACTTGGGGGAGACTGAAAACCCTAGCTCACAGAGTTCAAGCTAAACCACAAGTTGCGGTTGATGAGTTACACATTAATCACGATAGGTCCACCCCCAACGGCAAAGGCTTGCAGGCCGCTGCATGCTTTACTTTCTGGGGTTGCATTTCTTCTGGCACCTATGGTTGGTGCCAATGGATACATTGTGGAACTTGGTTCACGGCAGAAGAAGTGAAATATGATGTTGGATGCGAGAAGCAGTGAATATGTACGTCCATAGCCAGAACGATTAGGGATGAGGTCCTGTTCCAGTCGACGGCGGTGATGCAGCCCCTGGTTCTTCCCCGATGGACCTGGCAAGTGAGGATAGCTGTAGCGTAGGCGACCGTTGAGGCTTCGGCTTCGCAGGAATCAATCCTCCCTATCAAACACAACACCATCAATATGAACCAACCCCCGAAAGTAAAAAAAACCAAAGGTTAAAAACCAGAAAAAAAAAACACACACACACACCTTCTCCAATAACTCCTCAATAGTCTTACTAGGCTGAGCCCCCACACTCAACCAATAACTGATCCTCTCAGCACTCCACTCCACTCTCTTCTCCATCCTCATCATCGCCTTCTCCAACTCCGGCGCCTTCCTCCTCCCAGGAAGCTCATCCTCAACTCTCCAAGGTCTCCTAAGCACCTCCTCAGGTATCCTAGGCTTCGGGTCGTAAACACCCAACACTTCTAACGGTTTTGCGTCTCGACGTTTACGACCGTCGATGGCAACGATGTTGTAATGTGTTGTGAGCTTCGTACGTTGAGGTGGACGGGCAAGACGTATCCGAACCGGCATTCTTTTTTCCTTTTCCTTTTCTTTTCCAGATTTCCCTCGGGACTTGGGAAGAAATGCAGTAAGCGGTTGGGAAGGTTAACGTGTAGGGATCGATTGGCCGAGCTTGCGAGGCGTTTGTTTACAGAGGGGGTTCGTTTTTTTTGTCCGTGGGAAAGCGCGTTGTGAATTGCCCCGTGAGAAATCGTCACCCCGTGGGACTTCATCGGATCCAAATGCAAGCTCGGCCATCCAGTTTGAGGGGCACCCTCATAACAATTGTAGCCTGGTAGTTTTTGCGGCACAAAGAGTGTGAGAGCTGTCGGAATCCACTGCATCACGTGATGCCCGTTGCAATGCATTGCAACGCATTTCAATGAATCACAATGCCTTAGCTCACTGTTACAATAGGAATATCAAATGTCATTTCATGGTGTATGACATTGTAAATGACCTCATATTTGTGTAGCAACAAAATAAATGTTTTTTTTTTGGCCATTTTCAAAACTCCAGGCAGGATACCAGTGGGGGCAACCTAGGTTGATTCCGCATTCCGCTTATGTAATCAAAATCCGCTCTAACATGGTGGCCATGCTGATTTCATTGTAACTCATATTTTCACTATGCTAAACTCTGTGAAATGGTCATCTAAGGGAAATGTACATGGATTATTATATACAGGGAGTATGATTGGCAAGATCAGTGGCTTATCAGATGTGAATGTAAGTGATCGGGTGTCAGGGCACACCGCCCTTGTAGGGAATGGATGTGTGGTGATGTGTGCTGTGCACGCTTTCTTTATTCATTGTTTATTACTCTTTATTTCTCGATGTAAACAATGTATATAAATTGCGGGGAAGGGTGAAACAGGTTTTCACTCTTCTCCTCCCCTGTCGAAATTACAGCTCTATACTGCCTAATTCCTGACAGCTTGAGGATAGCAGGAGTCAACACCAAGGTCGGAACCTCAACCGACCTTACAGCCCTGCACCATGCCATGGCTGCCTCCTCTCTCTCCTGTCTGTCTGTCTGTCTGTCTTTCTTTCTTTCTTTTCCCATACAGACAACCTTTCCCTTTACACTTGTAGTGTCACGACCCGGCAATTCCCATGGTCAGGTGATCACCCCCCCTGTCACGGCCGTGCATTCCGGCCCGTTAGCCGCCTGTCCCGATGCCACCCGAGCCCGTTCCCGCTATGCGAGCGTGAGCGTGAGCCCCAACCTCAGCCCTATCCTCCCTGAGGACTCCCTGCTCACTTCCCCGCTTGCCCCTAGGCTCCCCTACACTTGGCCGACTCCCCTGCTGCTGCACCAACCTTCCCACCCTGAGTCCGCCTCCGGCACCGTGCCCAGCGCGACTTCCCTACCCCGCCCACTTGGCCCCTACAGGGCCGCTATCATCCCCGCGCCCGACTCCGGCCCAACTCCGAGTCCAGCGCCGCTACGATACCATCGCCGCTATCGCGGCCCTATGCTCTTTCCTTTATTTATCTATTATTGTTTGTTTTGACCCTCGGTCATTGCCGGCCGCTATGCGGCCAACCCCGCTCCTTCTTCTTGTTTGCTTCCGGACCCTTCGGCCTCCGGCCCGGGTCCGCTTCCATTCATTTCTTCTTCCTATATATATCCTGTATGATACTTTATTGTACCTTAGCTCTAATATCGATGTGACCACGACCCCTAAGTCCTGACCCCAGCAAGGCAACCCCAGTGAGTCTGAAATGAGGGCCAAGAGACAGCTAGGGGGCACAGCACTCCCTTTAGAGTTGCTGAGGCCGAATGCCCTACCCTCGGGCCTTGTTCACGGCATCACGGCCATCGCAGCCTATAGCGGCCCACATAGGCGACCCTCGGTGCCGACCCCGGACCAGTGTCTAACACCCCCCCCCCCCACCTTCACCCTCCTCCACTTTGACCCCATCAACTCCGCTGCCCACCCGATGCTGCCTGAACAAGCCCATCACCCTTCCCTGCCACTGCTACCTGTTTCCATGGCCCATCATGGGCCTATGAGTCATTCCTTATCACACTTGTTTTTCTTGACGGCCGTGCACAGCCATCCTTCTCCCACACTCTTTGTTTGTTTTCGTTCCTTCTTAAGCCCACCTGCAATCTCCGTGAGATCTGGCGACTTAATTCTTGTTACAGGAATGGGTTCCAGGGAACCCAACCTGAGCCGTTCGACTCACTAATGGAGGTGGCTGCATAGCCATCGGAGGGAGAGTGGAATAGGATGAGTGTACGGAAGTACAACCTGTGGGTTGGCCAACGGTAACTTGGCGCTCCTGGGAGCGTACCGGTAGCGAGTATGATGTGGGCTCCTTGAGGGAGCCACCTGGCTGTCTGCTAACGGGGACTTGGCGCTCCTGGGAGCGTGCCGGTAGCGGGTGTGCTGGGAGTGTTTGGCTAACGGTGACTTGGTGTCAGGGCACACCCGCCTGACCCGGCTCCGCCCGGCCCAACCTGACCCGGTACCCCGCCAGTCCACCCTTCCTTACCTCCTCCCCCTTTCCCTTCTTCCCCCCTCATCCTCCCCTCTTCTGTTTCTCCTTATCTTACTTCTTCTTTATTCTCCCTTTATTCCACATGGACGACTTTCTCTGTATCAATGTACCATTGACCCACCTGCAGCGCGCCCACCATGTACCCGGCCCAGGCACCTCGGGCGACCTCCCGCTGTGCCCAGCACGCGTGCCTGCACCGGATGCCCTCGGGATCTCCCACGGAGACACCTGGGTGGTTACAGCTGTGTGCGAGGGTGACGTGGCACCCGTCATGTGATCCAAGCCGCATGTATATAAACGAACCTGAAGTGGGAACCGAAGAAGTAGCCTTCTTCTCAACCTTCCACTTCAGGTAAGTAGTACAATACCTCTCCTTTAATGATAATACCAACCTTCCACTTCAGTCTAAGTGGCCAGGGACCACTGTCCCGCATCTGGCCTGTCAGTACGCATGCCCGATCCACCCCCCGCCAGGCTCTCGGTCCAGGACGCTACACCCGGACCCCCTCGACCCTGGACGAGTCCCTGACACTTGGTGCTCAATGGAGCGTGCCGGTAGTGAGGGATACTGGGACTCCCAAAGGGAGTCACCCAGTTGGTGGCTATTGGTGACTTGGCGCTCATGGGAGCGTACCGGTAGTGGGAGTTGTTGGGGAAAGCGGGCTGGTGGACCAGTGCACGGTAGTGGGTGACCGTGGGAAGTGGGACCTGCGGGTGCGTGGCCAGGCATCCTGGAGCTGCCTGGACCATATCCCTCTCCTAAGGAGGTGGGATAGGCTACAGTTCCTGATAGGGAACTTCTGGTTGGATGGGAGTGATTGCTCAACCACCTGGTGGACTGGTGGGAGCGGGCAGCAGGAGGTTGGGCGTGGGAATGCCCTCCTTGTTGCGGTTTCGTCATGGAGAGGATGAATAGGGAGGTGGACATGGTTCCAAGGTTACAGGTTGAGTTTACAGTGGTGGCACAATGGTGAGGATGTTACAATTGCAGTACAAGGTTTTTGGGTTATGTATTCGATAATGAGAAAACATTTTTCGGCATCTGCCTTACACATCATATGACTTCTAACTGTCTAATATAAAAGTCATAATGGTCAAGGGAAGTCCCTTGAAACTCAACAAATCCCCCAGCCAGTGTCATATCCGTGCATACCCGACCCCGACCCGACTTCCGGACCTCCACCCTCTTCACCTCCGGAGTCATAACCTACCGCTGCCTTTCCGATACTCACCTTCGGTCTCGGCAACACACCCCTCCTCTTACCTCTCCGACCCCTTCTCCGTCCGTTCCGATACTCATCTCGGACCGAACATCTCCCTACTCGCCACCCTTCCTACAACTCCGCTCCCCCCTCACCACACCTCCACCCTCCCGTCATCCCCTACGCTATCTCCGTCTGTTCCGATATCCACCTTCGGACCTGACTACTCTTCCTTACCTTCCCCTCTCTCATTCCTCCGCCACCCTTCTGCCAAGTTACGACCATCCACCGCTGTTCCGTACTTCACACTCGGACACCGTTCGTACCTTACTCCGAGCCTCCGTCATAGTCCATACCTCGGACTTTGACTCCACCTCGGTCTTAGTCCATTGCATTGGTGACCTCATACTACGTGAACACCATTGCCAATATTCCTCGGACTTCCAACCCCGCCTCCGTAACCTCCGTAAGCTCCGCAACCCCCAAGCTTCGCGGACCGCCTCCGGCACTCTCGCCGTTTGTAATGTATTTCTCGCAATTCCCCCTCATCCCTATTTGGACTACTGCTTCTTTCTATTCTAGCCAGTTAGTCATCACCCCCACTTCCCCTCATCCTCCTGCCCCTCTGGGCCTCGCCCACTCTACCTCCTTTCGGATGTATCACAGGTCTTGCCCTATGACCTTCGGTACCGCTCCGCTCCCTCTAACCCTTTGTTCCCGTTCGGACGTCTTCGTTCCGATTCGGTCACCCTTTGTTTCCCCTTGTGCTTTTGCCCCTTCCTTATATATCGGCGCTTGTACATACTCGTCTGTTTTCAGTCCGAAATCGACCTGAAATGCCCCCAAGAGACTTCCTGCTCACCTACTGTGAAATTAAGGACCAAATGGACAAACAGCAATGGCACAGCGCTCCGCTTGAGTCGCTGAGGCCAAGGTCCCTCCACGCTAAGTCTCCGATTCCACTCCGGAGTCGTCCGTTTCCGCCCATCTCTAACAGCCAGCACCAAAACCCAGTGGGAAAGCTTGGCATGGGGTTTGATGGAGAAGTAAAATGGGGAAGGTCCTGGGTCCATCTGCTTGCAACCACAGACCATAAGATTCTAGCCTATATCTATAACAATTCTATTCATTCTGTTATACTTAAATACCGGTTGTATACTACCTCGTACTTCAGTTCGAAAATCATCTAGGGTTACCCCCTGCACTCTCTGTCCGACTCAGTCACACCCTCTGCCTTCTGAAATATCGGGGCCGCATCAAGTACGAGGTGCAACGCTCACGAATGAGTTGTTGAAGTTGAAACCCTGTTTTGCCATGATTGTCACCCCCGCCTTTAACAGGTTGTTACGCCGGAGCAGCGGACCTTAACGGTCGTTGATGGCAAGTCATGGTAACATTTCCCATGCCCTGACATGTAGCCTGGATGCATCTGATGCCAGGTACCTGTCAGGGCACACCCACCTGACCCACCTCCACCTGGGTCCACCCAGGTCCACCTCACCTGGTACCTCCTCTTCTCTCATCCCATGTCCTTCTTTCTGTCATGGCCGTTGTAGGAGAAATAACGGCCACACTATGGAAACCCATTATGGAAATATGTCAGATAAATCA